ATGAAAGTATTTTATAGAAAAGCCAAAGGGTAGCTACATCACGGCGGTGACTGAACCCGAGATGTCAAGTCAGGACCAAAAACAGTCGAGGTGCCAGGTGAGAACCAACAACATAGCAGATATTTCTTCGGATTTTATGAAGGATCTTTGATATATAGCAGGAGAACCAGACCATATGTGACAGCAATATTTTAAGCATGGACGAATTGTAGACTTGTAAATATACAAGATTGATCCAGGCGAGAAAAATTGTCGAGCACGACACATTGAACCAACCTTTTTAGCAACAGACCTAGTAATTAATTCCTTATAATCTTTCTACTTCATGTCAATGGAAAATTTAGTTTGAAGTCATAACATAAAATACTATCATTATTCCGCTAATTAAGAAAAATTACACATTTTTTTTAAAACGTAGACGATCATAGCTCTCCACGACTTCCTTTTCTTTAATATCTGTGAATGACCATGACTGTTCTTGGAAAAGGTCATGATGTAATTTCTTATTGCTTTCTACATAAATTTTGAATCCAGAAATTTCCTTTTACCTAGACTGCTTACCGTATCAAGGCTAGATAGTCCAATCTGCTGTACCATTTTACATAACGGACGGGATGAGATGAATCCAATTTTTACTTAAGGACATTATTGCTACGTGAACATTGCAACCCACGCACACAGCCGGTGCAAGGGTCTCCTGCTCATTAGTCTATACGAGACCCCCCATCTCAAATTTCATAAGGTAGTATTCATATAAAATTCAAATTTTATTGTAACCTAATGATGAAAAATAATGGATCATATGCAATACAGGTGAATAACCAGAAAATTTAAAAATAAATACAATATATCTAAATACAAATTAGAGACACGTTATAGATCATTCCACCTTAAATAAATCAACGATGTTTTGCGGCAAATTTTAACATCAACTTAAGATTTTTCTTGTTAAAAAGTTAAATAATTTTAACACATTCAACATTATGGATAAAAAATAGTGAATTTTATATAGTGTTTTTTTAGACTTTAGCATGAACAAAACAAATTTACGGATTTGAACGACAAAAGAAAGACCCCAGAATGACGTCAATTAATTTACTCCATTGTCAGTTGTACTTTGTTTAATTTGTAACGTATGTAAATGTAGGTAGAAAAAGCAAATGTTGATAAGATAGCGAGGGTGACAAAGCACTGATAAGGTTCCCCAATGAGGCTTCCCCCCATTCGTGGATCGGGGGAGGGTGTTTGTAGTACGCGCCTTCGTGAATTATTCGAACGATTACATTCAATATTTTATGTTGCTTCGAGAATTACGTTTCTGTTAGTCCTCTCTTCAGCAGACAGAAATGTTTTCTTTCACCAATCCTCTTTTTTCCTTTTAACTTTAAATGTGATTCCAGTCAAAACAAGAAAAAAAAAAGCGCCTTGAAGTGTCTTGGAGCCTGCTGTTCACGGTGTTGACATTCAATGGTCGCACGTATTTCACAGATATGCAATCAGTGGCATGGCTCAGTGGATAAAGACGTTAAGTTAGAGCCTGTGACCTGACCCAAAGAGTTATGAGTTCAATACCAGATCACAGCTGTGGTGAACCAAACTTGAATAGTTGAGTTAAAGTGAAATAACTGAGACATCCAAAAGAGGAACAATCTACCCCGTTCGATTCGAAATTCCAATCACCTGAAGAAGGCCGGATCGTTCAACGGCCGAAACGTTGTGAATATGGCAATGAAGATGAGGATAACAGTCCAAATAATGTAAGTTTAATAAACGTACCATCAAAAATACTCCAAACAAAGAGAAAACGTGTTGAAAAGAGTTTTTTTTTGTTGACACTGCAATTACTATATACGTCTTTTGTAATACTTATTGTTTTAAAAAGCTATTATTAATTTTTTTTATAAAACCGAAACTTGAGTTCCTAGCCGTTATGTGTTTATTTGAATATTCTAGAGTTCAGACATTTTATAAATTTATGAATAAGAAAACTCTTTTAAAATGTTTACTTTATAAAATGCAAACAATAAATGTGGCATTATAGTTGATTCATATAATTTTATAAAAATATATATAAAAATCTAAAATTATTCTTGTAAATAAAGATTCTGATAAATAAATTGGTTTTAACATTTTTGTTGTCACTTCTCGGGAAAAAAGGGATAAATCCAGTTTCATATGCTTGGGTTTTATTAAAATTCTAAAAATAGCTTTTTAAAACAATCAAATTTACACAGGATATTATGCAGTAATAGCGGTGTCAAGGGAAAAACGTCTTTTTGATATCCTCTTTTTTTGTGGGGGGTGAAGGGAGCAGTCAAATTGTTAAATTTTGCCAAGTGTTTAATCATGCTGGCACTTGTATTTGGTACGCAAGAGTACTCACCTGAATTTATGATTTGAACATTCTCCTACCTAAAGATGTCTAATAGGTTATTCACCTGGAAAGGATTTCTCAATTATCAAGTTCTACCAAACAGGTAGGTGTCTGATTGTTATTATGTGCTTAAGTTTTCTTGTTGTATAGTTCCAAGACATTTTCATAAATTTATGAATAGAAAAGTTTTCATAATTATTTCTTTATAATATAGTAAATAATAAATATTGCATTGTCGTTGATTCACATAATTTATGATATTGTTAATCTAAAACTATTCTTGTAAATAAAGATTCTAATAAATTTGGTTTTAACATTTTTGTTGTCACTTCTCGAGAAAAATATATAAATCCAGTTTTATATATTTGGGTTTTATTAAAATACTAAAAATAGCTTTTTAAAACAATAAAATTTACCGAGCGAGTATGTAGTAACAGCGGTGTCAAGGGAAAAACCGCCCTTTTGACTTACTGGAGACGTTTGTTAAACATTGTCTAATCAGAGTCATCCTTTGTAGGAAGCACGGTGGAGTAATGGATAGCGGCTTGGATTGAGGAATCGGAGAGCCGAGTTCGAATTCCAGTCGAATCCATTACATTCACTTACTTGAATCCTCTTCTTGGTGGGTGGGTTCTATAGCAAATGGTCTAGGAGAAGGAAAACTCTGAATTCAAAACCTGCGGAGGGTCGTTTGGGGACCTTGTGGCACGTAGTGCACCAGGTCTCTGTAATCGGCCCTTCAAAAAGCGTGGATGGTCCTGCACGAAACCTTCACCACAAATCTCATGTGAATTCAAATATTGGAGCCGGCTCAATCCACCCCGGGGGAATGCCGTTACAAGAGAGAAGAGTTGGCTGCCTAGCGACGGTGGATGGAAAAGTCTTATATTTTCAATAAGATCCATGTTCCATGGATTGTGTGCGTGTGTTGATATGGGGCGAATATTCATTGTGCGAAGTCTTTAAATTTTCGTACAGTATATCGGAATTATTTTTACCATTTGAGATGTGCCAACGCGGGTCTTAGTAGCCAAGATCGCGACTAATTAAATTATTTCTTTTAATCATTTCAGCCCAAGCAAGGCAGGAATGCCACTAGTTACGCAGGGGGGTGACAGAGTGAAAGTGAGAGAAAAGTCTGGGTATAAAAGGGGGTGGGATTGAGGAAAGGATAAAAGATGAACGGGACTCAAGAAGACAGAAGATAGCAATTGATGTTGCATTTAAATTTTTGAAGATTGTAGTTAACAGGGAAGCAATTAGACAGAAGGAAGTTCCACAGGTGGGAAGTGTGAGAAAAGAAACTGTTAAAGTAGAAGTGGCATTTGCATTTAGCTATTTCAACAGCAAATAGGTGGGACCTAGAGGCCAACCAAGTAGCACGCTTAAATTCACGTAGTCGAGGCACCCGGGAAAAAGCTCATCAGAGCAGTTGCTATGAAAATATTTGTAGAAAGGACACGTGTCACCGAATATCTTCTTCTTCTTCTATGCACCGTGTCCCTTCAGGACGTGGGCAATAATGGCTCTCCACAATTTCCTGTCCTGTGACTCTTATGTTTTTTTCTATTTGTTATCTCTCCTAATTTCAATTCTGCCAACCATTTACCCAAGTTCGTCAGTACTTTGCTCTGTCCATCTTACCTTCAATTTATCCCGTGAGTCCTATATTCTCCAAGTCTTCTTTCCTCATTATGTGTCCTAGGAATTTCAACTGTCTCTTTCTGATTCTAAGTAGGTCTTATTTTTGTTTCCATTTTCTCTAAAAAGAGGTCGTTGCTCACATGTTCAGTCCATGGTATTCTGAGCATCCTTCTGTAGAACCATATTACTGCTGCATCTTCATCTATAAGGGGATTATCCAGCATTCACTGCCATTATAGAAGGATTGATTTTACGTTCTTGTTTCTTAATACTGTAAAATTTATTACTTTTATTGGTCTAATGACTCTGAGAGCGGTGCCGTCAGTAGTTCTAAACTCCTGGTTGAGTCACCCCCCGGCGGCAAGATCAAAGACGAGGACCCAAACTAAGGGCGACCAATTCCAAAGATCCTAACGGTAGAACAAACTGATGGCGATTACAACAGATCGCAACGGTTGAACCAGCGGATGAAGAGGGCTACGCCTGACGGACATGCTACAGAAGGCGCCACACGAAATTATAACAGATTCAGCGGCAATCCATTGCAGTTTCATAACTAGATTCTCCCTGTCTCATTCTATTTGTGCCATAGAGGAAGGTGAAGAAATTAAGTGTATGGGTCACTTCCTGGTAAGTTGAGAAACACACACCATCGGCACTTTCTTCTACTCTGATTTTCTTCCACCTCTAACCAACTCTTGCAAAGCCTAACGGCAACAGGGAATAGATGACTGGAGCAGGTTTTGGTGAAACTGGAAGCTTCTAGTCTTGAACCTTCACGTTGGCGACGAATTTAGTTATCAACGCCATCATCATAAAGGAAGCGATCAGCGAAGATGAAATTAAATTCTTGAATACCAAATAAAGCCGCTATGCCGACAACGATAATTTTATGCACAGCTCCTGGGGGAATTCGACCTAATAGTCTTTTTTCTGTGGGCATAGGCAAGATAGATGGACGTATTTCAGATAACGTTGGGATTTATAAAAGAGAGGAAAAAGAAAGCAGACAGAGAAAGAGGGAGAGAGAGAGAGAGAGAGAGAGAGAGAGAGAGAGCAGGGGAAAAGAGAAAGAAATAGAAGTTGTGAAAGAGACAGCTAGTGAAAGCAAGTGAGATAAAAAGAAAGAAATAGACAAGAGAGAGAGAGAGAGAGAGAGAGAGAGAGAGAGAAGATTGAAAGACAGAACGAGAGAAAAAACTATCGAAAGAGACAGGAAGAACGGCGGAGAAAAATAAAGTATTAGATTCAGAGAGAGAGAGAGAGAGAGAGAGAGGAGGAGGAACGGGCGATGGAAAGAAAAAAGACGAAGAAAAGTAGGAAGAAGAAGAAGAAGAAAAAGAAGACGAAAAAAGAAGAAGAAGAAGAAAAAAGAGAGAAAATGAGAAAGAGTGAGAAAGAGACCGTGTGAGCGAAATAGATAGAAATAGGGAAAGAAACCGATAGAAAAGTGGGATGAAAGGGAGAAAGAAATAGACATAGAGAGAGAGGGGGGGTGAGAAGGAAGGAAGGAAGGAAGGAAGGAAGGAAGGAAGGAGAGAAAGAGACATAGAAAGAACGAGTAAAAAGTCCTCGAAAGTGAGGGGAAGAACGAGGGCGAGAGATAAAAATTTAGACAGAGAGAAATAGACAGAGAGAGAGAGAGGGGATGGGGAGAATGGGTGATGGAAAAAAGACAGAGAGAGTGGAATGGGGAGAATGGGTGATGGAAAGAAAACGACAGAGAGAGTGGAGTGGGGAGAATGGGTGATGGAAAGAAAACGACAGAGAGAGTGGAGTGGGGAGAATGGGTGATGGAAAGAAAACGACAGAGAGAGAGAGAGTGGGGATGGGGAGAATGAGTGATGGAAAGAAAAAGACAGAGAGAGAGAGAGAGAGCAAGAAAACGACAGAGAGAGATAGAGAGAGAGAGAGAGAGAAGGAAAAATATAGAAATTGTGGAAGAAACCGCTAGTGAGAAAGAGAGAAAGCGAAACTGAAACAGACCGAGTAAAAAGAACAATAGAAATAAAAAGAAAAAAAAATTTAGAGAGAAAGAGAAAGAAAATTAGACATAGAAAAAGGGGAGAAAATAAAACAGAAAGAAAGAGTTAAAGAATAAACAGAGAGAGAGAGAGAGAGGGAAAGAATGAGAGATAGAGAGAGGGTAGGAAAGATTGAGACATAGAGAGAGAACGGCATAGAAAGAGGAATAATGAGGGAGCAGGAAAGAGAAGAAAAGAACGAAAGAAAACGAGACAGAGAGAAGAGGGAGAAAGAAAAAGGGAAAAGAGACATAGAAAGAAAAGAAAAAGAACATATGAGAGTGGGGAGGTAGGAAGAGAGAGAGAGAATAAACTGCGAACGGAAAATAATTTAATCTTGCACTTTATATTTCACTAAATCCCCGGTCATTCAATTATGGCGACAAAAGCAGAAGCATTTTGACATCATGTAGACATAGATTGTATAGCATAATTCTTAAAAGGCTAAAACATTCCCATTACTTCCGATTATTGGATTCTATTACACCGACCGAGCAATTGAAATAACTGTTGCTATGAAACCAATGCCTTTTCGCCTTTTCTAATTTGCTTTTCTTCTTTATTTCTTTGACCGGCCCGGGGCAGGGTGTGTTCGCTAAAATGAGGAGATGAGCAGTTACAGAGGATAACAGACAAAACAAATCGAAATAAATCCATCTTTGCTTTTAATCGCCCATCTCAATAGAATTAGTTCCCTCATTCTGAATCTGGATTAAACATCGCGGATAAAAACTAATCGGGTTGGAAAAGCAAAATTGTTAGTAAAGAGAAAATAGAAATAGTTGAAATTGAAAGAAAATGGCTGCCACATCTGGTCTACTGCTTCGGTTATCAATTTAGAGATTCTTGATAAAATCCAAAGAAGAATTTGCAATATTAGCGGCCCTGACCTGGCACCTCGGATTCAGTCACTTTCCCACTTTCTTGGTTTGATTTGGTTTGTTTTACGGCATATCAACTCAATGGGTTATTTTATGCCGACAAGATTTTTATTGCTGCTAATATTTTTTTTTTCAAAAATGTATTGCTGGTAATATTTTTTTCTAAAATGCATTGATGCTAATATATCTAAAGATTCTTGATAGCACCCAAAGAAGAATCTGCAATGTTATTTCTCAGTGCTGGCATATTGCCTGCAATGACTTCCCCACCACCGTAATGCAGCTTCCCTGTGCCTTTTCCATAAATACTTTTATGATAATTATTCTGATGAACTTTCCCCTATCGTAGCTAGATTTTATAAATTTAAGCGCAGTACTAGATTGGCAGCTAGGTCTCATCATTTTACGGTCGAATTGGCAAAATGTAACAGTAAATGCTATGCTAACAGTTTCTTCTGTCTCACTTCTCACTTGTGGCGCTTTCTTAAAAATTGAATGCAAAATCAATCGTCTTCTTAATTCTTGCTCTTTTATTGTTCTCTCTCCTTAATAATGTTTTATTTTCACTTATTTTTTCTTAGTAAACTCTTGCGTTGCTTGGATGACATGATTAAAAAAAATACTTGATAGAGCCATTGCATGGAGAGCCATGATAGTCCAGGTCCTGAATGCAGACGAAGCAGAGAAAGACAATGATATTCGGTGACATTAGATTAGCCTCGATTGAGCCCACACGTGCCCGCGCTGACACATCTAAAATGGCAGGTCTATTTGCTAAGAAAACAGGTTTATTTTGCCATGCCAAAACGACTTTTCTTGCCAGAATCTCTTTTACACATTTATAAGTCTACCAGTCGTCCGTGCATTGAATATTGCCGCCAATTTTGGTTTTGGTGCACCTGCTATATATCTCGAGATTCTTGACAACATCCAAAGAAAAGTCTGTAATGTTACTGGTCCTGACCTGGCATCTTGACTTCAGTCATTTTCCCACTGCCGTAACGTTTCTTTCCTCTGTCTTTTCTATAAACATGGCCATTGTTCTAATGAGCTTTCCACCTGGGTACCCCTAGTTTACGAATTTAAGCTAGGTCCCATCGTTTTATTATTACATTGGCTAGATTTAACCGTAAGTTCTATTCTAAGGGTTTCTTTTCTCGCACTTCTCACCTGTGGAATTCTCTTCCGGTTTCTTGATTCCCTGCAAACTACTATATTCAAAAATTTAAATACAGCTCAAATCACTATCTTCTGTCTTCCTGAACCCTGTTCTTTTATTGTCTTTACTCCTCATTAACATCTCTTTCTCTCCCACTCCCAATAACTGTTGGAATTTTTGGGTGCCCTGATGTACTAGTGAGCCAGCCAAAATGAGCTGACTCATTTTATAGTTCACCAATAGAAAGGTTAACCAATCAGAAGGCTCAAAATATTCAATGCGACGTGTATAAAGGCGACCATGTTTTTCCCGAATACTCACTGCCAGCCTTTCATATCGAAGACTGAAGAATTACGGAACAGCTGCTGGTGGTACTGGCGATATAGTCAGATTCAGTAGAGTGTCTGACTCGTGAGTGTTAATCTTTAACGTTGTTTCATTGAACAGATTACGTACTACGCTGTATTCTATATTCATAGACTATGGTGAACATGGTCAACAATAACCCCCTTTGTCTCAGTGGCATTATCATCTTGCTTGGGGTGAAATGATTAAAAAAAAGTAAAGGAAGAAAAAAGAAAATCAAGCTTTTCTTTTTTTATGCGTCTTTCCTTTTTCTGTTCGTCAAATCAATGTCGATTCCTTCCAATGAATGCTGAAACGTCTTTTTTGATAATATATTATACGATTAAATTTTAAAAAAGGAATATTAATATCTTTCGCTCACTCTCAGTTTATAAGTATTTACACAAATACCAGTTTAGGCATATGACCGCATTTTAAACATATTTTCCAGTTATTACTGTTGTAATCTACTTTTTTAAGGAGTTCGTCTTCTCGCCTTCCATTTCGTAAACATCTTGAAACAGTCCAGCATTGTCATAAAGATAGGCCACCGAATTTTCCAAGGGAAATAACTCTGTTATATGCCGTAGCCAGTACAATGTATAACTCTAATACAGATAAAATTGGTATTTATTTATTAAGCTAGTTTAGTTTGGTTACAAGTCTATACGGCACCCTTACTGAGATCCATACTATTAATTACTAATTACAGTTAAACGTTAATTACATTAAAGACATCATAATATATATTAAGGGTTTATCGAAAATGAATCTATATTTCGAGAAGTAATTGGAATTATGAAAAACCAGGTTTAAATATGCAATGATCCTGCTTTCTGAAATTTTATTAACAACTCGCGAATAGCCATGTCTGTTGGATCTTTCTGATGAAACGACTTTTCAAATTTCTCTCTAATTTCTTCTCATTTTTCGCCTTATATTTTCCATGTTACAACAAACACTCATTCTCTTATGTTCGTCAACAGTAAAATTTGTCTGAAAAAGAAAAAGAAAAATTACACAAAAATCGGCCAAAACCAATTAACATTTTATAAAAACAAAAACATGCATTAATGATGCAAATGTTTATGACAATATCGTGCTTTTTTTTTTTTTTTGAAAAACATTGGATTTTACTGAAATAGTAACTTTTGAGACACCCTGTATATTTACACATTTTCTTAACAGGTGCTACCATCCCGGGTCAGGGTGGATATGGGAAAACCAGCAATTAAGGGGTCGTTTTACGCTCCTCAAAACCTCCTTATCAGAAGCATTGCTGTTGGACGTAGTTTATCGTCCTACTCAGGACGCGGATGTAGTTTATCGTTATACCCAGGACAGTCAGCCTGGAGAAGGTTGGAAAAGAGCAGATGAGCTTCTTATAGAAGCTAGTAGACAGAAAACTTCGATCCAAAACAAAGCATGCAATTGTAGCACCATCTAATATATGGCACACGGTGCATCCATACAGAACATGGTGCTATGATAGAGATAAAGGGGAAGGGTGTTTAAACAACTCACAGGTTGTTCAGTAAAATCTTATTGAACCCTTATTCGTCCTTCTAAACATGAAGTCGAATTATGTCGGGAATCTTATCAACCCCTTAACACAGAGGCCTATTCGTGAAGGGCTATCAGCTACTCCATCAATTGCTGAGATAAAAAGGGCCATAAAGCAACTGACAAACGGAAATTCCAGCAGAGATATACAGATGTGGCAGCAACTTCCTGATTCGTAAATTTGGTGGTCTATTTTCTTTAATCTGGGATTCAGGACCAGTTACCCAGAAGTTGAAAGACGCTTCAGTTGTCGATCTGTATAAACAAAAAAAATCAATAAATGTGTATATGACAACCATAGAGAGTATCTTCCTTCTATGCGTGGCTGGGAAAATTTTTGGCAGGATCATCTTGAACAGACTCAACTCTTCACTGACCGATTCAGTCTTGTTTGAATCTCAGTCCGGCTTTTGATCTGTTAGAAACTCAATGGACATTTTGATATGACTATAGGTGAAAGCACGCGTGCATGAGGATGATTTATTTGTTACTTTCGTTTATCTGAGGCGTTTGACACCGATTCAAGGAATTCTCTTTGATCGTCCTGAGGAAGCTCAGTGCCATCATGTCTTCCCGTCAGAGGACGATGGCCTCAGATTCAGTGAAGAGGTGTCCGACCTATTCATTGTCTCTAATAGAACAAAACAAGGTTGTGTTCTTGCACCTCTATGGTTTACTTTTCATTTTTCTGTCATGCTAGTAACAGCATTTGAGAATGTTAATGAAGGTGTGAGATTTGAGTTTAAGAAAAGTAGTGGGTTGTTCAACCAACGTTGCTTCAAATCAAGAACCAAAACGATTGTATAAACTTTCCGTAACCTGCTCTTTGCTGACGATTACGCAGCCCACACCATTGACGATATGCAAAGGATCGTTAACATATTCTCTCGCGTATCAAAAGCTTTCGGTCTGATAATCAGTCAAAAAAAAAAAGAAACCTGTCCATGGTCCTATCTATATCCACCACCCCCAGTTTTTGCTCCCAGTGTTTATGTTGAGAAAAAAGTCTTGAAAACCGTTTCATCTTTCACCTGTCTAGGCTCCATTCTACCCAACGATGCGAAGGTGGGCAAAAAAATTGTGTGCAGGATTGGAAAAAGTTCAGCCTAGGTAATTTTCTATGGACATATGCGTGTCCATAGAAGTTCAGCACATCTTTATTTTACTTAGCTCTCATTTGTCGTGCGTGAAGAGGAAAAAACCATATATATATATATATATATATATATATATATATATATATAATTTATTTATTTCTGTTAGATCATGTTATTTAAGTCATGGCAATTATGTATGAAAAATATCACCCAAATGTCTGCCAAAACTGAAAGAAAAAAAAAAATCATTAGACGCTTAAACTTAATT